AGGGATCTTTGAAAGGCCATCAGCACTGGAGAGAGAAAGAATCAGAACCAAGCTCTGCCAGCACCACTGTCTAATGTGGGCAACCCAGCTTTTTAAGTGAGAGAAATTCAGAGCCAGATCATCTTGGCACTGAAAGACGCTTCAGTGATTGGCTGGTCTGATTCCAATCCAGATGTCACACCCTGAGATGTTCTAGCCTTCCTCTCCCCTGGCCCCTCTAGTGTCCCTGTATAGGGCACCTTCTCCAGTCAGCATTCTCTGCTGGCATCAGCAGCCAGGAGCTTGCATATGAAGCTATTAAGTGGTCAAGTATTTTGGAATATAAGGTGGAAAACACACTCACTTCCTGCTGCTTATTCTCCCACTATGTGATCTTGAACAAGTCAATTCACTGCTCTGAGCCTCAGTTTTCTCACCTGTACCAAAAGACCAGTATTATTTGCCTTGCCCTTGTAATATTGTAGAGTGCTTTTTGCTGCTCAGCAAAGGTAAATGCTTCATGAAGGGAGGCACGAGATGGCCATCGAGTGAGCATCATATCGAGGAGATATGCAGAGGAGAAAAGCAGTATAGAATGGAGCACCTGAGTCCTCAACTCACACACCTGTGCGGATGCTGGAAGGAGCAAGATTTCTTCTCCTCCAGGTATAATGGATGCATTTAGACCATGGTTCTCTGTAGCCAATACCCCTGCCTTTGTTTCCTTAATGTATTCTTTTTGCTACTTCCCTAAATTCCAGTTTCACTTATTGAAACTTACTACCTCATTGATTAGCCTTAATTTTGAGTCTCCAGGATTTTATTTGCTTCGCTCTTTTTAACCCCTATGATAGAACAGATGGTCTCCAGCTTATACATTCGCTGCAAGAGAACATTCCATGTATCTGGACAGCAACAGGCCTGTCTCCTTCCTCATCCCACTGATGACCCCATTCTCTCTTACGTGCACACACACACATGTATGCACACACATACATGTACAGACATGCACTATCCCAGCATGAGCCCTGGTCACACTTCTATTAGATTCAATGGCAACATTGGCCTCACCATTCTTTTCTATGATATTTATCACCCCTTTAACCCACTCTTTGCAGGGGCCTATTACTAATATCTCAATCCTTTTGGCCAGATTGCATCTCTTAGCCCAGATGTCATTCACAAAGCCTAGTGTTGTAGTTCACAATATTTTCTTTAAAAATATATTTTTATTGATTTCAGAGAGGAAGGGAGAGGGATAGGGAGAAAGAAACATCAATGATGAGAGAGAGTCATTGATTGGCTACCTCCTGTATGCCCCACACTGGAGATTGAGCCCACAACCTGGGCATGTGCCCTGACCTGGAATCAAATCATGACCTCCTGGTTCATAGGTTGATGCTCAATTAGTGAGCCATGCTGGCCAGGCTAGTTCACAATATTTTAATTTACTATTAAAATATTTGATGACATGCCTATGTTAAGAATATAAAGAAGTTTTCCTGAAAGACTATTTGTTAATATTTATCTAGTAGAATCTATGATAGATACCCAATATATTAGAATAATATGTGTCTGTAAAATATAAAAAAATTCAGAAATGTTTAGTGATATGGAAAAGGTATTAAAATATTAAGTAAAAACAAGACACACACTTTTAAATGTAACACTAGAGGCCAAGTGCACAAAATTCGTGCGCGGGGGGGGGGGGGGGTCCATCAGCCCGGCCTGCACCCTTTCCAATCCAGGAACCCTCGGGGGATATCCAATTGCCTCTCACAATCCAGGACCGCTGGCTCCTAACCACTCACCTGCCCGCTTGCTTGATCACTCCTAACCCCTCTGCCTGCCTGCCTGATCCCCCCCTAACTACTCCCCTGTTGGCCTGATTGCCCCTAACCGCCTCTGCCACGCCCTGCACCCGGGACCCAGAATTCCCTCCTCTGGCCAGTTGCAGGCACCTGGGGCCCAGTCTTCCCTCCCTCTGGCTGGCCACAGGCACCCAGGACCTGGGCCGGCTTTGCCTGGGCCAGCAGCAGCCACAGGAGACCGTGGGTGGGCGGCTTCACTGGGTGGCAGCCGCAGGTGCCCAGGACCACAGGGTGGGCAGCTTGTCCCTCTTCCAGGGTACAGCTGCAGGTGCATCCGCTGGTGCCTGGGACTGCCAGGCTGGTGGCTTGTCCCTCTCCCGGACCGCAGCCTGGCTGGTCCCCATACCTCTCTCACAAGCTCATTTGTGCCTGGCTGATCCCCATTATTCTCTGGCAAGCTCATTTGTGTGTGGCTGGTCCCCATTCCTCTCTCTCCAGTGTTGAGTGTCTGAGCCATTATGGCATGATGGCATGATGATCATTTGCATATTAGCTCTTTATTATATAGGACGAGCCTGTTATTATCCATGGATGCTTGGATTAAAAAGAAAGAAAGGAATACAGCCAAATTCTAACAGTGACTATCTATGAGTAGGAGAATTTATTTTTTGCTTTATTCACTTGTCTGCATTATTTAATTTTCCACAATAAACATACATTAATGTCATAATAAGAAAAGGTAAATGCTATTAAAAACTTTTTTTTTTTTTTGCTAAAGCATCATTTCTTTAAGTTCTGCTTAACCTCTACAAAGCCCAAATTTCTTGCTTGCCCCCATTAGGGCAATGTCAATCTCTTTGGCATGGCCCATGAACTAGCAGTTAATATTATTTCCAAAGATGAGGAGCTGGAAATGTAATGCAAGTTTATTACAATTACATAGAATATATCCAAGTAAAGAACCTGTGGGCATCTTTTGGTGGCAAGAAGTGAATCCTCATTAAGGATCCATGAGCTTCCTGAATTGCCTTGAAAAATGAAATCGTAGCTACCTCGTATTAGGCCTTCTGTTTTCCTCCAGGATGTTTCTTTCTTCCTGTGCTGGTCTTTGTTCTTTGCTCCCCACCAGAACCTGCCTTTCCCAAATCTGATTGGCCCTGGTCTTGTTGGAAGCGTGCCCAGGGTCCTCCAGAGGGACTCCCCTTCCTTTGATCTTGTGAGTCAGGGCAGAGCAGCCCATCTAGGTCTTGGGCCCATGGTGGTATCCTTGGGAAAATGGGGATACCCCAAACACCACCTTTGCTGAAGAGCTTGGGCAAGCAATTGATTCCATGACAAAATCTGCTTCTTTCTCGGGGGTAAGGGGGTGGGGGAAGTAAGGGCAAAATCTTTTATCCTATTGCAGACAATAATGGACACTCCCCTTCCACTTTATCCCTTATTTCTGGAATACAGTCAGGTACTGCTTAATGATGGGGAGAATAAATCACGAATAAGAGAAAATGCTGCCATAAAGAGACACGGTAAACACAAGATGTATGGGCTGATGCCAGCATAACAGGGCATACTGTTTTACAGCAAACCCTTTTTTATTTATTTTTTTAAGTAGAAAGCACACCATAAAATAAAGATAAAAAGAAGATAAAAAGTATAGTATAGTAGATACATAAACGAGTAATATAGTCATTTGTTATTATTATCAAGTACTATGTACTATACACAATCGTATGTGTTGTACTTTTATAAGATGGTCAGTCTGTTTGTTTACACCAGCATCACCACAGACACGTGAGTAATGCATTGAGCTGTGACATTACGGTGGCCACAATGTCTATGACATCACTAGACAATAAGGATTTTTTTTATTATTATTGACACTATTACAGTAGGGATTTTTCAATTCCATTATAATCTTATGGGACCAGTGTAATATATGAGGTCTGTTGTTAATGATAGGTCATTATGCAGTGCATGACTGTATCAGAAAGCACATGGATTTACAGTCACCCCAAATCCTGAAGCCAGGATCAATAACTAGCTGCGGGGGGGGGGGGGGGGGGGAGAGGGGGCTTGTGTAGGGCTGTGAAGATTGCTCATCTATGACATTGGACTACTAACTTTACAGAGATGTTGGAAAAATATTTTATTTCTAGTCCTTCTTAAGAGTTTAACAACCAGTATTTTAATGAAAGGAGACTGCATAAAATAGTTTGATTGTACCTTTGTTCTTTCTCTACGTGTTTTCACAAAAGTAAACCTAGTACCACGTACACATTAGGTAGATGGTTTTTTTTGCACACACAAATGTGATTACAAGTACCTTTCAAACTTTCAAAGTAACCAACAACTTCTATTCTATTTATTTATGATTAAATCCCTACATCAGTCTGAGGTAGCAAATATGACTTTATTTGTATATGTAGTTGCTGTGCTCAAACAATGTATATTGAATGAATGTGTGAATAAGTTAAAAAATGAGTTTTGTCACAAAGTTACCTGATTATTTTATTTCTAGCCCTCCTTAGGCATTTAGCTACCAATATTTTGGTGAAAGAGACTACATAAAATAGTTTGATTATACCTTTGTTCTTTTTTGACATGGTTTTCACAAAAGTAAACTTAATTCCACATACACATTAAGAATGCTTTTTGCTTACACAAAGACATGTGATTACAAATACCTCCTGAAGAGGATTGATCATCACTTGTACCTTTTGTAAGTAAAATGAATCTGGATGCTATTAAAAGCCGAAAGATTAGGGCTTTCATTAAGGAAATAACACCTGCAGCCCTGTGGTCCGGCTGGTGTGGTTCAGTGGTTGAGCGTCAATCTATGAACCAGGAGGTCACCATTCGATTGCTGCCAGGGTACATGCCTGGGTTGCAGGCTTTATCCCCAGTGTGGGGCATGCAGGAGGCAGCTGATCAATGATTCTCTCTCATCATTGATGTTTCTATCTCTCTCTCTTTCTCCCTTGCTCTCTGAAATCAATAAAAATATATATATAAAAAAATCTGCTACTCTAAGAGCCTCACCCAGCCCCAATTCCTTAGCCTCAACAAATAAAGCAGTGACGTGGGAGTTCTTAAGTCTGCCCAGTTCCTCAGGAGGTCCTGCCAACTCTGCATTGTCCGGTTGGATTTGCAGTCAGATGCCTTATGCTGGCAGGCACTGGGCAGGCAATGAGTTCTTTCCCTGTAAGTTGGGCACAAAAAGGTCAGCCTGGGAGCAGTCTCGTTTGGGACAGCCGCTCTGAGGAAATGCAGTAAGGAGCAGGCAGAAAGTCCTGGAGCACAGGGTGACTCATGGGAGGAGTTAGTTCAGCTTGCTAAGTACTGTCATTTGCTGAGTGCAGGTGTGTGCGCAAGAAGGAGTTGTAACCTGGAGGATCATTAACTCTTTCAGTCAGCTGGCGACTCCGGTGGCTCGGCAAATTCCTCCTGGAAGCTCCTGCTCTGGGAAGGTCAGGGAGGAGGAGTGGAAGCACTTGTCTATGGGGGACCACTTTGAGAAGGGCCAGCATGCTTTGCTCAACGAAGGAGAAGAGAATGAGATGGTAAGATTCTAGCTGCTTTCCTCTCTTCCCATTCCTACACACACACACACACACACACACACACACACACACACACACACACGCACACACTTCTCTAGAACTTGACACTCTGGGATTAATGTGAGAAAGACTAATGGCCAAGAAATATCCCTGCCCCATAAATAGAACCTCTGACAGCATAAATGTGCTAGACTGAACATATTGTATTCATTTTATCATGAATGTTTGCTTTTTAAAATAAAACGGAAAGGGAGAGAAGCACAATGCCACTTTATGATGCATTTTTGAGCCTTCCCAGGAAAGCAAGTTCTGTTCAAAGCTTCTTATAATTTCAGCACATCCCTAAGGCCGGGAGCAGGGTATTCCCCGATAGCAAGAAGCAGACCGTCAATAGGAAATAGGAGTGCAGCCGGGTGTCTGATCTTTTTCTCTTCTCACAGATCTGTGTGCACAAAGACTGTTGGACAGTACAGATGTGTGGAATATTAACAATTATACACACATTTCTGTTTACTTCTAGAATTTCGCCTGTAGCTCCCTAGTTATAGAAGTTGATGAAGTTCATGTTCTCTTTTATTTCAGATGTGTTCCGATCTGGGGAACTGTAGAAAAATCAAAGACAATTCTTTTGCAGAATTTAAAGCTGTATTTCTCAATTACACTGTAATCAAGAGAGAGTTAGAAATGCGTATTTCTACTTAATAAGACCTTTCTGCTAATTGTGTAAGCAGAGTCTTTTATGTCAGTAATGGTGTAATTACAATGTGATGCTCTCATTCTATAATAGCATTTGATCTTCCTGAAATTAATATGTAAATAACAAACCCAAAAGATATTTCCTTTAAGTGCTTTCTTGGTTATTTGCCTTAGCCCTGTCTATTACGCTCTTTGTTCCTAAACTGGTCTTTCAAGTCTAATCTGCTTACCTGTTCCTATAGCAACAGCATTTTTTTGGACCTTCAGAAGTAGATTTCTTCTGTTATCAAAACTGAAAAATTATAAGGGGATAAAAGGCACCCACATCTATGTGGCTTACTTAACCACTTCCTTATTTTTTTTGGGTTTGACAGCCAAATGACAATTACCTTCAGGCCCTACACAAATGTCACCAGAAATGACTTTCTGACCTTATTTTTATTTTTCATCATTCTCTATATTAAGTTGAAAATTTGATTCCCATACTTAATACTATTAACCAGAAGGCAGGGTCTTCTTCCCTCTAATTTTTAAAGTAGTTCCTTAAATTATCAGATCTAAACACACCCATGCTTTTCCTCTACACTCATTTCTGCTCTTTGACAATTTGTCTCTCAAGACTCACTATGAGTCCTTGAGAATAGACATTCTAGAGAAGCCACTATCTCTTCTAGGGAAACTTGTATTCTTTCTGAAGCTTACACATTCCCGAGGAGCAATTTTAATATTCATCTTCATAATAGCACTTCCCCCTGACCCCAATGCATCAGGGCATCCATGAGTTCTGCATGGAGCTGAAAGCCCAGTTAGGAGAGAGCCTTTGATATGGAGAGGGACACTGTTTTTTGGAAAGGAGTCATTTGCCCAGAGTCTCAGTGGAGGTGCAGCAATTAGTATGCATCCTGTTCTGCCTGGAGAAACCTGGCCACCTGCCTGTTGCAGTGTTTGACACTCTGTCGCCCTTTTTAATTTACTACTCCACTCCCCTTGCCTAGGGCAGTGAACTTCAAAAATTATCAAGATATCTTAAATGTATTCCACATATTTTCATGGCAATTTTTAGTTTACAAAATGTTTCTTATTGGCCACTAGCTAATTTAGTTTTCACTACAACCTGTGAGTTAGGCGTTATGATTTCTGTTTTAACTATGAGAAAACCGATGGGCTGAGAATTTGCTTGTCTTAAGTTACATAAGCCCAGGAGCTGAGGCACCACATAGGTTACTATAAGTTGGTAGCTCTTCTGTCTTTGGACCTGAACATAGCTCACTGATACCTTTTTCAGTTCTTTCCGGGGACATTGCACTCTTAACAGGAGAACCCACTTCTTCCCTTAATAAAACAAAGCTTAGGAGAACACATGATCTTTGATTTCCCAGGATCCATTTCGTTATAGATGATTTGTATTTTCTGAGTAAGCCTGCCTTCTCATTCTTCAGTGTTAACCTATTTAGAAAGCCAAGATTACCTAGAAGTATGTCATACCCAAGTGTTTATAGTTCCATGCTTTATAACATACACCCGACCTTTGCAGAAGTCATTCCTCTGATGATAGAAATCGCTTCAAATTTCAAGCGAAAACAGCATGCTAGGGGTTAGCCCTCATGTCAAATAGAGAAGAACAAGAATATTTCCAGGCCTTAAGATGCTTGGGACTATCTTTCATTCTGGAATAAAAGAGATACACTAAGGAGTAACTCTGAGTGATCTGAAAGTAATACCTTAAGTACTAAATGAGATAGGAGCTGATGGAAGAAAGAATTTGTTAAAGGGACAAGGAAGAATACCGGAGAAATTGCCATTTAGAGAAGGTACACCCAAATGACTCAGAAAGGCCTCAGAAGAGATACTGACTCCCAGACAGCACCATGCCCAGATCAGACGCCTCACTAGCCTTGGGCTAGCCACTTGCCTGCTTTCGCCTCAGTTTTCTGTTTTGTTTTATCTGTGAAATAGGAGTGGTCCTTCTTACCCTACCTGTCTCACAGGGCTCTTATGAAGTACAACTGAGGTAATCTATGAGGAAGTGTTTTGAGAAGTATAAAATTCTGGAAAAGACTAAGATGCTATTACCCAACCAAAGATGGAAGCTTCAGCAATTTGTCAATCCAATGAATAGTATTTCCTCAAGTGAGGTCATCTCTTCTTATTAAATAACTAGAGGCCCGATGCACGAAATTCATGCAAGGGCCTTGGCCCTCGCAGCCCCAGCTTTGTCTGGAAGGTCGTCCAGACTGTTGTTCTGTTGTTTGGTCTAATTAGCATATTAACTCTTTATTATATAGGCTGACAAGTGAGGAATATATACTTGGATCACAAGCGATAGAGACTATTTATAAATAGAGAGGATCTGAGTGCCTTATAGTCTTACCTTGGGAAATCACCTACCTATGTTGCACCAGGTAGCAAAGGTTCCTTCCCCATCTCAGTTTCCTTATTTGTAACATGAGTATCAGAGGGCCTTTGAATTCTGATGTTGCATATATATATTTTGAAAGGCCTTATAAACACTGAATGCTCATTTCCTTAATCATGACTACACAAAGCTATCATGGTTTAATTGATTCAAACGTTTACTATTATCCTCAGTGACACCCTTGTGAACTCAAACTCCTTTTGGAAAAGTATTCTGAACCAGTCAGACCTGTGTTAAAAGTAATGTTCCCTGATTTTTTTTCTTCCCTAGGTTTTAGCAAATAAGAAAAAACACACACCTTGAATTATTTTTTTCTGATTATACAGATAACACGTTTATTGTAAAAATTTAAAATGACATAGAGTAGTCTAAAGAATGAAGTAAATATGATTCATGAAATTTCCACTCAGACATGATCAATCTATACTAATAAAAGGGTAATATGCTAATTAGACCAGATAGACCAGGCATCTTCTGGTCGTCTGGTCCTCCTTCTTAACAGTGGCAGGGGCCAAGGCCGAGGTGGTTAGGGGAGATCAGGCCAGCAGGGGAGAGCAGTAAGGGCGATCAGGCCAGCAGGGGAGAGCAGTAAGGGCGATCAGGCCAGCAGGGGAGAGCAGTTAGGGTGATCAGGCCAGCAGGGGAGGGCAGTTAGGGGTGATCAGGCAGGCAGGCAGAAGTGGTTAGGGGTGATCAGGCTGGCAGGCAGAGGCAGTTAGGGATGATCAGGCAGGCAGGCAGGTGAGCAGTTAGGAGCCAGCAGTCTCGAATTGCGAGAGGGATGTCCGAGTTGTCCCGGACATCCTGGCTGAGGGACACCCCCCCCCCCCCCCGCACAAATTTCATGCACCGGGCCTCTAGTATTATTATATTAGTGACTCTCCTTCCAGACTTAGAGAGTGCATACACAAACTTTATCACTTTCTAATTAGTTTACTGCATTTTGGCATTATCTATACTTTTGTAATTATTGCATGTTGTATGTGTATCATGGAAATACTATGTCACCGTGTGCTACTGTATATCTCTTCCCAACTCTATATTCAGTGACGTCATATTAGTAGCTTGAAACGTGTAATATTGGGAGTATTTGCGATATAAATTGGTAAATGCTATATAGGACTTTCACCCTGCCCCACCTGAAAGCTAGTTGTTAAATATTTACCAGCACATCACGGATCATATTATTTCCTCAAGACTTACCTTTGTTCCCCACCTCCTTGATATTATACAGTATTTGGATTTCTCTAAATACAATAGAGCTATTGTCTTTGGATAGCATCCATTTATTTGCACTGTACTTCATGCCAAAGCCAAATTAATCGCAACCTATTTTTTTTTTTAATGATCAACCCTAAGCACACATTTAATTATGACATTTGTGTGTGTGTGTGTGTGTGTTAATCCTCATTTGAGGATATTTTCCCATGGATTTTTATAGAGAGTGGAAGGGAGAGGGAAAGACACAGAGAGAGAAACATTGTGTAAGAGAGACACATTGATTGGTTGCCTCCTGCATGCACCCTGACCAGGGCCAGGGATTGAGCCTGAAACCAAGTACATGCCTTTGACCGGAATTGAACCTGGTACCTTTCAGTCCAAGAGCCAACGCTCTATCCACTAAGCCAAACCAGTGATGGCATCTTCTTAAAAGAATACACATAGATACTCACAAAACTGTGTGTTTTTTAAAAAAATAAAAAAATGGAGTAATTTCATATATATCTTTTTTAAGCTGGCCTTTTTATTACACCTAGAATATATTTCCCTTTAGATAATTATGGTTCAGATAATTTAATGTTCAAATTGTAGGTTTTTCATTGTCTAAAATTTTATATTTTAATGATAGGATAGCTAAATAATCAGAAAACACATAAGGAATTGATAG